CCCTAATCCTCCCTGTATCTCTATTCTCATTGTTGGCCCTGAGGGGTTTATCTATCCTGTATTTCTTGTGTTGCTGGCTCTTATCTGTAGCAGTGTGCATGTTCTGGTCTAACCCAACTTGTAAGGTAGGATTTAGGTCATGATAGTCGGGGGAGGTGGGGAGCATTAAAGAATTAGAGGAAAGTTGTGTGGTTCATCAGTGCTATACTGCATCCTGACTGGCTCATCTCTTCCTTGTGACCCTACTGTGAGGGGATGTCCAATTGTCTACAGATGGGCTTTGGGTCTCCACTCCTTGTTCCCACCCCTACCCCCACCGCCCCATTCACATTGGTATGATTTTGTTTTGGATCTTAGATACCTGATACCTTATCCCATTGACACCTCATGATCACACAGGCTGGTGTTCATCTTCCACTGGGCTTTGTTGCTTCTCCGCTAGATGGCCGCTTTTTAATTTTTAAACCTTTAAGACCCCAGACGCTATATCTTTTGATAGCCGGGCACTATCAGCTTCTTCATCACATTTGCTTATGCACCCATTTTGTCTTCAGCAATCGTGTCAGGAAGGTGAGCATCACAGAGTACCTTATTATTAGAACAAAGTGTTCTTGTGTTGAGGGAGTACTGGAGTCGAGGCCCAATGTCCATCTGCTACCTTAATTCTTAACATGTAGATATAAGTACATAGATCTACTTCCCTCTTATATATAAATATATTTACATATGTACATGCCTGTATTTAGATCTTTATAAATGCCCTTTGCCTCCTGGTTCTTTCCTCTATCTCCTTTTACTTTACTCTTGTCCCACCATCATGTTCCACCTTCATTCAGGGTTTAGTAATTCCTCACTGTTAAATTGCCCTTGATTAAGCCCCACTAGGCATCTTACATACACCCTTCTCTCCATCTATTTTAGTTCACTTGTTGCCCCCTTGTCCCTGAAACCCATTTCTTCTTTCTTTCTTTTACACCTTCTACAAGTCTGTGCTTATAAAAATGTATATGGGGAACAAACTATCTGGCACCTAATATTTTGGCGCCTCATATTCTTTGCCATCGTTTTCCACTGGTTCTTATTAGCTCTTGAATATTATTTATTTAGTGGTTTTCTCCCTCTCAATATTGTCTATTGATATAAATTCTGTTAGCTGAGTTCTGTTAGCTTTGTCTTCTCTGTCTTACGTGTCATTTCAATACCCTGGATTAAGTCATTCATTTTTATCAGCCATACCTCCCACCTATTAAAAAAAAGTCTTCTACAAATAGTTTTTTTTATGTTCATGATGCTGTTGATGTTTTCCTGAGACTATTAGAGATGACTTTTCAAAAAGTATTTAGTCATACTTTGTCCTTTTTGGATACTTTTTGTGGTGTCTGCTCTTAAATTGTGCCCTTCATTCTGCATATTGTTCTCAAACACCTCTAGATTTCGTGTTTTCACATAGGGGACTCAGGAATAGAAACCACCTATCAGTTTGTCAAACTGGAGGCTTGTGTATTGCTGTGATGCAGGAACCTATGCCACTGGTATCTCAAATACAAAAAGGATCAGTTAGGGTGGACCGGTTTAAATGGAGTTCTTAGACTAAGATAGACTAGGAAAGACCTAGAGATCTACTTCCTTAAATCAGTCCATAAAAACTCTAGATCACAACAGAATACGTACTAGAAGATAAACCCCCTAGGTTAGACGGCATTCAGAGTTTATAATACTAGATTAAACCATGCTTATAAAGAGGAATGATGTTGTTATGTTGTGTGTAGAGACAACTATGAGTCAGGGGAGACTTAATAGCAACTAACAGCAACAGAAATAGGAATGATACGGAAGTGTGGAAATGAGCAGACATATTCGTTTAGGGTAAGTGGGACTCAAGTAAGCCTTACACAGGGATCCCAAAGTTACCAGAATGATATACACTTTATTCTAGGATGCAGTGCCTTGCTTTACTGTCCATGTTGTCTTGAGACTGTTTCGTTTTATGTAAATGTAGGATGATTTGTTTTGCTCCGTGTTTTGTTTCATTTTTTTCTGTCTTTCTTTATCCGGGGTACAGAGCAGGGTTCTGTACGTGAGCAGGGACTGGGTGAGAGGGACAGGGGCTTAGGTGCACTTGTCTAAAATGTTTACTTACTTCTCTTCAACAGACCTTCGTCCTATCCTCCAAACATGGACCTGGACCTCTGTGCTCTGCTTCACTCAGACCCCTCCTGCACTATGCACCTGCCATTTTTCAAGATGTACTTCGTCCCACCCTGGGACTAGAGCCAGGAGCTGAGGGTGTTAAAAGCTATGCTTTATATAACTAGTTGGATGACCATCTCCTACCTGTCTACACTGGTTGTTGTTATTAACTGCATTGAGTTCATCTAGTCAAGATTGGTTATGGGTTGCACCTCTGTGATCTACAGTGTTTTCACTGACTGATTTCAGAAGTAGATTGCCAAGCCTTTCGATCTAGATTACTTAACTCTGAAAGTTCTACTGAAACCCACTCACCCTCACACTGGTTTTGAATGTAAAGGAGAGCCCACATCGCAAATATAATTTAAAGGGAACATTTATGAAGTCTTAAATAAGAAAAGACAAAGAATATCATCTGGATGAAGGAGAACATTAGCAGGGGGTCTTAATGGCACACAACAATTTACAGAGATTCAGAATCTTAAAAAGAACAGGAGAGGGGGAAGGGAACTTTCATAGAAGCATGGTAGGTGGCAGATCAATATATCACAGTTACAGATGTATAGACGCGGAAATGGGACCATGACTGGGACACATACATTATTTTAGATGGAAAAGTACGCAAGATTGACTTAGTGCCCTCCTACCAAGGTAGTCAGGATATGGCTCAAATTCCATTAAAACACACCCAGGCAAATCCCTAAGGGCTATACTGCTTCTCTCTGGAAGGACAGTAATCCACTCTCTAATGCATTCTCCCTGAAGGCAAAACTATTCCCTGCTGCTGGTTAAGCAGTCAGAAAGAATTCAGTGGAGGGTGAACTTATGTGGAGACATATAAATGGATTTAGAGCTTCCACTGTGAAATGTAGCCCTTTGCAAACTTTATGGTCAGAGATTTAAGTTCTAATACAATAGCAGCACACATAACTGCTGTGGTAGTTACATAATTTTCATGTCAACTTGAAGTGTCGGGGTGGAGTCTAGCCTGTCAATCAGGTCACAGACTGATGATGCCTCCTAGTGGGGTGACCTCCTCATAAAGCGGGAACCTTCCCCCTCTCTCTGCTTCAACTTTTGCTATTGAGTCACTCGGAGAGCTGTCAGAAACACCACCTGTCTGCACCCACCCGCCTAGGCGCTCCCTGCATTCTGCATCATTGCATGTGGCTGCATGAGTCCAAAGGGGGATTTATGGACTAGTATCGGATTTATGGACTTGTTCTGGCCTGGCCTGGGATGTTTGCTTGATATATAATTACCTCGTGATATAAAACTCTCTCTTACACATTATATGAGTGTCACTGAATTTGTTCCTCTAGTCAACCCAGCCTAACACACCTGCCCTAATATATTGGCTGGAATGAAACCGGTATTTTTCTGCATGGAAGGCAAGAATCTCCCAATAGAATCACCTCTTCCCTTAATCTGTCATTCCTTATCTCTGGCAAATATATTGACATTTCTTATCTTCTTAATTCCTAATACATTTGTTAGTGTTATTTTTATATGCACATTTTCTAAAGCACAATTTATATGAATAGGAAGTGTGCATGTATAGGAAATTGGTCCCTTCCAAGATGTACTTTAAGAAACTCTCCCTATATATGAGGATGGGGAAATAGATCTATGTGCATGTATTTATAGATTTAGTATCAAGGTAGCAGATGGACATTGGGCCTCCACTCAAGTACTCCCTCAATGCAAGAATACTTTGTTCTATTAAACTGGCATTCTATGATGCTCACCTTTCCGACACAATCGCTTAAGACAAAGTGAGTGAATAAGCAAATGTGGTGAAGAAAGCTGATGGTGCCCAGCTATCAAAAGATATAGAGTCTGGGGTCTTTAAGGCTTGAAGGTAAACAAGCGGCCATCTAGCTCAGAAGCAACAAAGCCCACATGGAAGAAGCACACCAGCCTGTGTGATTACGAGGTGTCGAAGGGATCAGGTATCAGGCATCATCAGAACAAAAAATCATATCATTGTGAATGAGGGGGGGAGTACGGAGTGGAAACCCAAAGCCCATTAGTAGGTCACTGGACATCCCCTTACAGAGGGGTCTCAGTGAGGAGACGGCCAGTCAGGGTGCAATGTAGCAACAATGAAAAATCAACTTTCCTCTAGTTCCTAAATGCTTCCTCCACCCCCCACTATTATGACACGAATTCTACCTTGCAAGTCTGGCTAGACCAGAGGATGTACACTGGTACAGATAAGAACTGGAAACACAGGGAATCCAGGGCAGATGATCCCTTCAGGACCAGTGGTGTGAGTGGCGATACTGGGACGGTGGAGGGAGGGTGGGTTGGAAAGAGGGAACCGATTACAAGGATCTACATGTAACCTCCTCCCTGAGGGATGGACAACAGAAAAGTGGGTGGAGGGAAACATTGGACAGGGCAAGATATGACAAAATAATAATTTATAAATTATCAAGGGTTCATGAGGGAGCGGAGAGCGAGGAAGGAGGGGGAAAAATGAGGAGCTGATACCAGGGGCTTAAGTGAAGAGCAAATGTTTTGAGAATGTGAGGGCAATGAACGTACAAATGTGCTTCACACAATTGATGTATGTATGGATTGTGATAAGAGTTGTATGAGCCCCTAATAAAAATGATTGAAAAAAAGGAGGAAAAAAACTCTCCCACATTCAGACAGGAGCCCTTATGGGCACACAGGCTGCTTGTCTCATATAAACAAGAGTACCTGCCAAAGCTTCTCCTTTTGCCATGACTGCTCAGTCATAGCCAAGCACCCAGAAACCTGCTTGATAATATTGTCTCATTAAATGCCTTTACCGTTTCTAGTGCTGATGAGCGGTTTGATGCCACGTTCCACACCAACATCTTAGTTAATTCCTCTGGGCATTGCCAATACCTCCCTCCAGGTAAGACTGTTTCCTCTTGTCCTGCCTGCATTAATAATGTGTGTTTAAGGCGTCAGCTTTAGCCTAGTGTGAACCAGCTCTGTGCACCTTCCGCCTTTCTCACTCTCACTGCCATGGAGTTGATGCCGACTCACAGCCACCCGTGGGGCAGGGTGGAATTCTTTACTACACCTGGGAGTCTCATCTTTCTCCCCTGAAGTCAAGCAGCTGATTCATGGCTAGCCACCCAATGCATAGCCCACTACACCAGGAGGGCCTTTAGCGATCCCCATTTTTCCCTCTGTCCTTTTTCTTGCCCTCCATTGTACCCTCATATATTGCCCAACTGTTTTGTCTTAGAATTATTGCGCAAGCCATCTTTGCCAACACATATCATGTATTTTTATTACTTTGGTGTGTTCTTTAAAGAATTCACGGGACTTTTCCTTGTTCAATAATTCTTAATTGTCCTTACAACCTATCAGCCTAAGACACTTGTTATTTTTCTCTTTCAGAACTTGTGCTTTATCTCAACTCTGCGGCTGTAGGGGTGCTGTTGGGAAAGGGTTGGAGTGGTCTTACTGAGAATTCCTAATGACCATTTAGGGTATTGGATCCAAGATCAAATTCTTCCAGAAGAGAGCTGATTAATTATTTGTTCCTGAATCTTTTTTCTCTTTTGTTTTCTACACAAACTCTATTGTTGCCCTGTTTTCAAGGATTGATTCTTTTTCCAGGATTTTTTGGTCAGATTCATTGGGATTAAAAGAAAAAGTCAACCATTAGATGGAAGGGTCACTGGGATTTTATAGCTTTGAGGTACCTTTATAATAAGCTTTTACATGTGTATATTAATAAGGTTTTCCTTCACAGGATATGTTTTTCCCAGGTTATCTCCCCTACTGTACTACCCTGGTTTATGAATGAGGCCTGAGTAACTGTTTGCTTTAATTCCCTGAACCCTCTCTTACACAGACACACACACACAGACACACACACACTTCTGTTTACGCATTCCCTGACCCATTAGCCCACTTCTCAGTGGTTCTACCTGCTAATTCACCTTACCCCCAACCCAAAAAAAGCAAAAGCAAAAACCATGAATGATAGATTGTCATAAGATTTGTAAGAGCCCCCAATAAAATGATTAATTTTTTAAAGATCACTGCTGTGGAGTTGATTCTGACTCATTGTGACTCTATGGGAGAGAATGGAACTGCCCGGGGGTCTAAGGCAGTAACTCTTTCAGAAGGATAAAGCCCCCTTTTCCTCCCAAGCTTCACCTCACAACATACAACAGAGCTGTCTTTGTCTGCAGGCTTTTTGGGTGGTTTGTTTTGTTTTGTTTTGTTTTGTTTTGGCAAGCTCTCCCTCTTTGGCAAAGAGTCTGGTTTTCTCACCTCAGGATGCACCCCTTTGAAACCCTAAGAATGGCCCAGGATGGATGCTCCATAATCAATATATGAACGAGTGATTAACTCAGTGAGTGCTAGATAACCAAGAACCAAGCCCAAACTGCCTGTGGGGTTTCCATGGCTCAGAATCTTATGGAAGCAGATGGCCTCATCTTTCTCCCTCAGTATGGCTGGTAGGTTCAAACCACCAACCTTTCGGTCAATAGACCAACGCTTCATCCATGACACTGCCATAGCTCTCACGTGTATGTTTATATGGAAGCCCATCAGCTCCCCAGTGCTCTCCCAAACATGTATTTCCCCCTAACTTCAGGCTCACTGCAGACTGAAGCTGTGGGCTGAGTCTTGCATAATCTTTGTATTCCGTTTCCCAGACCTGTGTGTTGCAGCTCCTACTATGAGAGTGATTTTAGAAAATGAGGTTGGGTAGTCATCAATGGAGAAGAATAGTGTGTGCTCAGTATGGTTCTGAGGCCGAGGCCATTTCCAACCATCTGCAGCCATGATACGTTTTGAAATGTAAATTAAGAGCCCTCGTGGTATAGTGGTTCCACATTGGACTGTGACCCACTTTGTGGGCAGTTCGAAACCACCAGCCGCTCTGAGGGAGAAAGACTGGGCTTTCTGCTCCCAGTAACAATCACAGGCTCGGAAACCCCCAGGAGGTCGCTCTGAGTCCGCGTGGACTCAATGGCAGTGAGTAAACAGTGTGGTTTCAGTGTAAACGTATTAGGTCGTATTCTGCTCATGATCAGAATATACATAGGTAGTTACAATTACCTCCACGTATATTTCTAAGAGCCATGGATTGTGTCTATTTTTAACCTAAAGAAATGCTAGGCCACCCTGACAAATATACACACATATCCCCTTCATTGTTTTATTTTCTTCTTTGCAATTTTCCATAATTTTTACTTTTGCCTGATCATTTAGCATTCAGTTATGGATATAATAATAATCAGAAAATTACACCCAAAGCCCCTAAAACGGTTTTCTTCCATGGGGTGTGTCAGTATTGTGTTTCGATTTTAAGAGAGTGAAACTTTAGCTGAGCTGTTTCTCTAGAGATTTTTTAAAGAAGGGTCAAATTTGTTTACTCTCTAGAGGCTTCGCTGCCGTTCGGAGACAAAAAAATTGGCCTGAAACCCCATGGATGACAGTCAGACCAGAGGTGCCTCTAACAGGGCATCCACTTAAGCCGCATCCACGGGGCAGCTGGACTGGGGCGCTCACACAAGCACGCATTATGTCAAAGAAATGCTGAGTTTCACAACGGCTGTGACCTGTATGTCATTCTGCAGCCTCCTTAGCAAGCTAAGTAATGCAGAAGAGGCATTGCATTGCATACAATGGGCAGCGTGTGATTACGGAGGCCATGAATGTCCTGCATTTCCGCCATTATCTCCATCGGCTGAGGTGGGTTTTCCCACTTTCATTGTCCGCAGGCATATTCAAGAGCTCCTGCCACATCGATGTACGCTGGTTTCCCTTCGACTTGCAGCAGTGCAAGCTCAAGTTTGGATCCTGGTCTTATGGAGGGTGGTCCCTGGATTTGCAGATGCAGGAGGCAGACATCAGTGGCTACATGCCGAATGGAGAGTGGGATCTTGTGGGTAAGTGCCTTGGGCACAAACCAAGAGAAGGATTGCCAACAAACAAAGACCCTGGCAAATAGCTTGAGAGGGAGTTTCTTTATTTGTGTTGTCTCCTTAAAAGTTTGGGCTTTGCCCCTTTGCTTTTCAGTGAGACTATTTATTGAGCCCCGTAGTACTCTCCGTCATTTGCTGAGAATGCTGAGAGAAAACATGAAGTAAGTCGACAGCCCGATGATGCTTTCTATGAGGGACAGGCAGTTACGGTGAGGACTGCAATTAAACAGGCCATTGCTGATAGAAAACATAATAACAAAACATTGGTTATAAAGTAGACTCTGACTCATGAGACTATGAACTCAGGTGTATCATAGTACAACGATGCAGGAGGCAGACATCGGTGCTCAAAAAGGTTTTTGACAGCTAATTTTCCCAAGGAGTCTCTGGGAGGACTCTAAATGCCAGCCTTTTCGTTGGCAACCAAACTGGTTGTCCATCAGTACTACCCGGGGACTCCAGTACGAGTACACATGCTTTTAAACTGCCATAAAGTAGATTCTGACGCATAGTGGCCCAGGGCTTCTGAGATTGTAAATCTCTATGGAACACACCACCTCCTTTTTCTGCTGAGTTTGAAGTGCCCATCTTTGGCCTAACCCACCACACTACCAGGGCTCCTTGGGTTAGTATAAACCCAAACAAGCAAGCTCACTTCCGTCACGTCAAGGCCGACTTACAGGATAGGATGGAACTGCCCCTGTGAGTTTCTGAGCCTAAAAACCCCTTCTTTCTCCTGCAGAGCGGCTAGTGGTTTTGAACTGCTGAGCCATCAGTTCGTAGCTGACTGAGTAATCACTATGCCTCCGGGGCTCCTGTAAGAAGCTCTATAGCATTCCAATCCTACTCCATCCCTAAGAGCAGATGGGGTAGTAAAAGCCCCTTTGTGAGTTATATTTAGTATTGACAACAGAAAAAAATTAGATTCATAATGATGTAACATTTATAAATGTATAATACAATATTTAATTTTAATAATATTATTTTCAATCCATTAAAATATTTATCACTTTTCTCTAAAATCATCTTAAGTAACTCTTATATTACAGGAAAGGTCTGTTAAGCACTAACTAAACACCTTTTTACTTCTTAATGAGCTACACAAGTGTGTTTGTGTGTGATGTCCACAGTAAAGCAAACCATGTGGTTTTATTAAAATGCTGGCTCCTTCCGCTCCTCCCCATGAAGGAATCCCAGGCAAACGGAGTGAGAAGTTCTACGAATGCTGCAAAGAACCCTACCCAGACGTCACGTTCACGGTTACCATGCGGCGCAGGACCCTCTATTACGGCCTCAACCTGCTCATCCCCTGTGTGCTCATCTCTGCCCTCGCCCTGCTGGTGTTCCTGTTGCCCGCGGACTCTGGCGAGAAAATCTCCCTGGGTAAGTGCGTAGGGCTTGGCAGGCCTCTCATGGGAAGGCTCTTCCATGAGACTGAGTCTTGGGATTGGCTTGTGGGGCTCCCTATGGACATTGCAGGGACAGGCCTGGGCTTTGGTTCAGATGACCCAAGGGCCCATTTGGATCATCTGACAGTAACATCCTGGCTCAAGTGTGTGTGTCGGGGCTGTCCCCATGACAGTGGAGTTCTGGGTCTAAGGCCAGATGTTATGGCTCTGCCAGAGGGAGCCTCTTTGGCAGCTGCCGGTAGGGTGCCAGTTGTGGGAAGTAGGGAGACCCAGGGAGGGAATAACTTGGCGCACTGCGAGCAGTCTTCCTTGGTGGTAATTGGCTACAGTGATTGTGGACATCAGACAGTTTAATCCAGTATCAATGTCATACATAATGTAACTACATAATGGTAATGTCAATGTAGAGAAAAAAACTAAGAGTTAGATTATTGAGATTAATTTTCTCAATGAATTATTAAAGATGATACTTAGCATATGAAAGAATTAAAGGTCAAACCCTGATCTCCTGACTGAAACACAAAAATGATTAATGACTCAACAAAGGTTCACATGGCTAGTAAGTGAATAGTAAATTCAACACCTAAAACTAGGTGTTTTAACTAAAATTTTTTCTTCGATAGAAACCACCTCTTAATAATAATGTCGTAGAGAAAATGGGATATGTGTGCTCAGTTAGACAATTTGGGGGTGGGGGGTTGATTCTTCTAAGGTCTGGCTCCTGAACGTCTCTCCAGCAGGGACTACTGTGCTCCTCTAGGGAAGGACGTGGACTGTCCCCAGAAAGAGCCATGTGCCCATAAGCACAGGAGCCATGCATAAGTGTCGGGAATTGCCCTGCCTCCAGCTCCTGCCTAGTTCTTTGAATCTTGGCTTGAGAGCCTTGTCAGCAGTTTACCTAAGGAACCTCTCTGTGCCCTCTTCTAGGGATAACAGTCTTACTGTCGCTCACTGTCTTCATGCTGCTGGTGGCTGAGATCATGCCTGCAACATCTGATTCGGTGCCTCTGATTGGTGAGGAATGCACCGGGGAGCTCTCAAAAGGCCCGGGGTCAGAGCGCGCTGGGGTTTCCTAGCAGGTGCAAAGAGAAGTACCCGGCCTGCTTTCATTTGCTGCCTTGGGGAAATGACCTCTGTAGCCATGCAGAATGACCCAGCCTCTGCTTCCCTGCCACAGGTTGTGTCCTAGGAGATCTCCCTCTGGCTCTCACCCTCTGTCTGTTCTCTCGGCAGCCCAGTACTTTGCCAGCACCATGATTATCGTCGGCCTTTCTGTTGTGGTGACAGTGATCGTGCTGCAGTACCATCACCATGACCCTGACGGGGGCAAGATGCCTAAGTGGGTACGTCCCTGTCCAGCCCACAGGCAGCGTCAGAATCTACTCCCGGGCTCTGCATACTTGACCACGGCCACGCCTCTGAACAGTGCAGACTGTAGGCAGATGAAAGTGGGATTGCAGTAGCAGGATTTTAGCTTGTTGCATTGTGGATTTTTAAAAAGAGACCATGATAAATGGATGTCATGAATAATCTCATTTAAAGATCACCTCTAAAACTCATTCCTAAATAAATAGCTTTATTTTTGTGTGAATTCCTCTATCTTTGAAGGGAGTACATATTTAGGAAGCATGTGCCTTCGGATAGAAAATTTAGCATTCTAAGGCACATGTGTTTATTTTTATCTAATATTACAGAGACAGTTTCTCACACTGACTGCTTTGTACATTAGGCTTTGTACATCAGAACTCTTCTGTGAGCCGTACCACGGACTGCTGAGCAGCATGGTTGCATCTTCCAAACACAAACATCAGCGGTAGTAAGTTATAGGGTGACTAATCAAAACAAGCCCGTAGAATAAATGCCACTGAAGGGGAAATGGAATGGGAGAAAAGGAAATGAATGGATGAATCCCTAGCAATGAATATTTAAAAAATTGAATCTACTTATGGCGGTCAAGTCTGTCAATGTCCTTCAACCTTAGAAGCACCTATGGAGCTGCCTAGTGACCCTTACCCAGCTAAGTGACGTGTACCTCCAGACTTTTCCACTTACCACAGTAGTCCTCTTGAACAGTCGGGAGATCCTGATTCAGGCCTCGCTAAGGGCTATGCTTTCTCCCCTCCCTTGACAAAGCATATGCTTCCAGGGGAAAGTCGATCCACATGGACTGTTGTTGTTGTTGTTGTTGTTGTATGCTTCCAGGGGAAAGTCGATCCACATGGACTGTTGTTGTTGTTGTTGTTGTTGTTGTTGTTGTTGTTAGGTGCCATCAAGTCAGTGCCATAGCTACCCTATGCACGACAGTAGGAAACACTGCCACCCCCACCGTTGTTCCTGTGCTTCAGCCTAGTGTGGCAGCCACTGGGTCACTCCATCTTCCTGAGGGGCTTCCTCCTTTTTGCTGCCCCTCTGCCTTACAAAGCCTAATGTCCTTCTCCAGAGACTCGTCTCTCCTGACATGTCCAACGTACGTAAGATAAAGTCTAGCCAACCTTGCCACCAAGGAGCATTCTGGTTGTACTTGTTCCAAGACAGACTTGTTTGTCCTTTTGGCAGTCCATGGTACGTTCACCTCGATTCAAATGCATTGATTCCTCTTCCATTGTCCTTATTCCACGTCCAACTTCCACAGGCATATGAAGCGATGGAAAATACCCTGGCCTGAGTCAGGCGCACCTTAGTCTGCAGAGTAAGATCCTTGCTCTTCAACACTGCGGCACGATGGATGGTTGTATGGATTGTGGTGAGAGCTGTAAGAGCCCCTGATAAAATGTTTTTTTTTAAAAAAGAGTTTTTGTGCAACAGATTTACCTGATGTTCTGCATCTTTTGATTGCTTCAATGAATTTTTATTGTGGATCCAAACAAGACAAAATCCTTGAAACTTCTCTCTTTTCTCCACTTTTCATGATGTTGCCTGTTGCTTCATTTGTGAGTATTTCGGTCTCCCTTACATGGCTTTGTGGTCCATATTGAAGGCTGCAATTCTTGATCATCAATTGCAAGGTCTACAGATCCTCTTCGCTTTCAGAAAGCAAGGTTGTGGTGCCTGCATATTGCAGGTTAATAAACTTTCCCCCAATCCTGATGCCGGTTCTTCTTCCTATAATTCAACTTCTCTGATGATTGGCTCAGCACACAGATTGCCTAAGTATGATGAGAGAACACAACCCTGATGCACACCTTTCCTGATTTTAAACCATGCAGTTTAAACCTTGTTCTGTTCACACAACTACCTCCTGATCCAGGTACAAGTTCTGCATGTGCACAATGGAGTGCTCTGAACTCCCCGTGTCTCAAGACGATCTATAGTTGTGCTCCACACAACCAAATGTTTGGAACAGTCAATAAAACACACATAAACATCCTTCTAGAATTCTCTGCTTCAGTCAAGATCCAGCTGACACCAGCAGTCATGGTCCTTCTTTCGGGTCCTCTTCTGCATCTGGCTGGGACTTCTAGCAGCAACTATCGGATGATCTACATCAAAAGCTTACTTCAGGGGCTGTCAGTGACCTCGTTCTATAATTGGAGCATTCTCAAATTGGGTGCTTTTCTTTGGAGTGGATACAAATATGGACCTCCTCTGGTCAGTTGACCAGGTACCTGGCTTACAAATTTCCTGGCACAGATGAGTAAGTGTTTTCAGTGCTTCTTCAGCTTGCTGAAGCATTTCGATTGGTATTCCAGCAATTCCTGAAGCCTTGCTTTTGGCTAATATTTTCGATGCCGCTTCAACTTGTTCCTTCAGTACCATTGGTTCTTGCCTATATGTTACCTCCTGAAATGTTAGGATGTATGCTATTACTTTTTGGTACAGTGACTCAATGTATTCTTTCAATCTTCTTTTGAGGATTCCTACATCTATCAATATTGTGCCCCTAGAATCATTCAATATTGTAAATCTAGGCTTTTTTTTTCATGAATTCTTTCCGTTTAAGATACGCTGAGCATGTTCTTTTTTGGTTTTCTACCTCTAGATCATGGCATATTTCATTATATTTTACTGAAGTCCTTGGTAGAATTCTTCAATTTCTTCATCACTAGCTTTCCTGGTAGGTGCATAAGTCTGAATGATAGTCATATGTGTAGATTTCCCTGATGCCAGACAGGTATAAGCCTATCACAACCAGCAAGATTACGTTTGAGTCTCTTCTGACATCCACACTGATGAAAGAAAACTTTCTTTCCCTAATTGTTAATGAAATCTTCCTTTTTCCGTGAATGATGTTCTTGATGTCTTCCCACAGTTCATCAGGCCTTCTGTCATTAGTGTTCAATGCAGCCATTCGTTTCTTAAGTTATCCTCAAAATGCAGGTAAAATAGACTCAGGATAGAATTTTGGCTCTTGTGAATTTCTTTGCATTTTCTTCAGCTTTAATCTGAACTTATCTATGAGCAATTGATGGTCTGATCCACAATGGGCCCCTGGTCTAGTTTTAGGTGCTAATATTGAGAGTCTCCGAGGTCTTTTCCCACAGATGTAGACAGTTTGCTTTCTGTGTACTCCGTCTGTAGATGTCTAAGTGTATAGTTACCATTTGTGTTGTTGAAAAAAGGTATTTGCAGCCTACACTTATTCGTTCTCCTTTTTTTCCCCCAATTGTTTTTTAAATACATTGCCATTGGTTAAATCAATGACTAAGTCAGGATTGGAGGCAGGCTTATTTACAACTTGCAACTTGCAGATGACACAACTTTGCTTGCTGAAAATGAAGAGGAATTGAAGCACTTGCCAATAAAAATCAAGGATTGTAGCCTTAAGTGTGGATTATAACTCAATGTGAAGAAAACCAAAATTCTTACAACTAAACCAATAGGTATCATCATGATAAATGGAGGGATGTTTGAAGTGGCAAGCATTTTGTCTTGCTTTATATACAATCATTGCTCATGCAGTTAAGAGATCAAAAGGTATATGACATTAGGTAAATCTGCTGTACCAGACTTCTTTAGAGTATTGACGGGTAAGGATGCTACTTTGAGGACTAAGGTGTGCCTAACCGGAGCCATGGTATTCTCCATTACCTCATATGCATGTGAAGGTCGGACATTGAATAGAGAAGGTCAAAGAACAATGGATGCATTTGGACTGTGGTGCTGGAGCAGAATGTTGAAAGTACCATGGACTGCTCAAAGGACAAACCGATCTGTGATGGAAGAAGTGAGCCCAGCGTGCTCCTTAGAGGTGAGGATGGCCAGACTTGGTCTTACACACGTGGATATATTGTCAGGAGAGACGAGTCACTGGAGAAGAACCTCGGGATTGCTAAAGTGGCAGGGCAGCGAAAAAGAGGAAGGCCGTCAATGTGATGGATTACACAGTGGCCGCATCAATGGGTCAGGTTGCAACAATGTGCAGATAGCACAGGGCTGTGCGGTGTCTCATTCTGCTATGCATGAAGTTGCACATTTCGAATGTCTTCCAACTCAAGGGGCCTCTTTGGCACTAGCTCTGTCAGTGTTCTGCTTCCATCCACGAGGCCTTCGCCCTCGGACAATGTTTCCATGCTGTGCCTAAGGTTTTCCGTGGCTCTTTCCTTCTCCCTTGTCTGTCTTAGTTTGGGAGCACCACTGAATCTTGGTCACTTTAAGTGACCCTGCTGGCGTTTGAAATACCAGTGAAAGCTTCCTGCATCACAGCAACGCACAGGCCACCACAGTACAACAAACTGACAGACAAGTGTAGACACACCTTATCAATCTGCCCAATTCTACCCAGAGTATATGATTTAAAGATGGCTGTGAGCATAAAAAAAAGCCTCATGGATCCTAAAACAATTTTTACACTTGCATTCAAGTTCAGAGGAAGATTAGGAATCACTAAAGTGCTAAATGCAGCTAGAAGATATATTTAATTATATCTGAATCCAGGGAGTTTCAGGGCCTCTAAGACATTTACCTTGGAACAATGTACAAGTTAAAAATTTAAATTAAAAATTAAATCAGGAAAAGTGATTTTTTTTCTTGTTTTTTTTTTAATCATTTTACTGGGGACTCATACAGCTCTTATCACAATCCATGCATACATCAATTGTGTAAAGCACATTTGTACATTCATTGTCCTCATCATTCTCAGAACATTTGCTCTCCACCTAAGCCCCTGGCATCGGCTCCTCATTTTTCCCCTCCCTCCCTGTTCCCCCCTCACTCATGAACCCTTGATAATTTATAAATTATGGTCATATCTTACACTGTCCGACGTCTTCCTTCACCCACTTTTCTGTTTTCCGTCCCCCAGGGAGGAGGTCACATGTAGATCCTTGTAATCAGTTCCCCGTTTCCATTCCACCCTCCCGGTATCGCCACTCTCACCACTGGTCCTGAAGGGATCATCTGTCCT